TATATATATATATATATATATACTGTTTATTGAGTTTCATAAGTACAAAAGTGGCGTTGCCCATTTCAAGAGGTAATTAGCTCTTGTTTTTTAATATCCCATATTATTAGGATCAAATGTCTGTAATTTAATTAATACAACATTCAAGGACAAAAACCAGAAAAAACAAAAATGAAGTTTATCCCATATGTGTTAATAACTTTGTATGGTATTTCAAAGACACATAAAAATCCCTGTTGGTAGAGTTGATAAAAATTCTTTAAAACATCTTTAATAAGTTCAATTTTTTAACTTATCTAAATAAATCTGTATATTTAGTTTCTTTTTTTTTTTTTAATTTTCCTTAGTAACGATAATGGGAGGTGGGCTGGTTTGAAATTTCAGTGATTATTGTAACATGTGTATTTGCTGGGCAACAATTCACATGCACATTTAATAAGTTGCAATAGAGCTATAAACTTTTAAATGGTCAAAGGAAATCTTTTTGCAGGTTTTATGGGCTTTATAAATAAATCTCACTAAATAATGTCGCCTTACTACTACCCTGGCCTATATAAAAATATCCTAACTCCTCTTCAGAGGACGATAAATATTAAGCACAAAATAACAGGATTAGAATGCAGTTGATGTTCTGAAAGCAAATCTAGCAAATCCAAAAGCAATCCACAGCTAAGGAAAACATATATGCTGAGGTCAAATTAATCCAAGATTTTTTTCAGCTTTTTTTTTTTTTGATTCACAAGTTGAGCATTTGAATGAATATAATTGGCTTCTAAAAAATGAACACAAATAAAAGTATTATCAAACAACTAATTAACACACCTGTAAATGCAATCCAGGATTGTTCAGGTGGGAATTCCCTCCATGATAATATCCACTCCTCTGGATAATGCTGGCAGTCTGATCAAATGCTTTGTGCTCCCAAAAACCTGACTCATTTGGCGGGAGATGCTAGGTTTTCTCTTTCACCTGCCCTGGCTGACAAGTTTCTCACCTTGGGTTCCAACCCTGGACATTCAGGGCTGTGTAGATTCACTCTGGGAATTTTTGTGAGAGTCCTGGATTCAGGCCCTACAAACTCATCCTGGCTCCATGCGCTACATTCCTGGCCCCTACCCCAAAATAGTGTGCATCCAAGCTTCCAGCTGCTTCTTTCTTCAGCAATGGCTATTTTCTGGTTAATAGAAATCTCTATTGAATCTAAATATTTTCTATCACTTCTCTGGGTTTAGAATAGAAGGGAGCATTTTCAATTTATACTTATCTGTTACCTTAAACTAGAAGCCAATATTCTAATCGTATAATATAACCATATAAAACAAGTAGAATTGTTAATAGTGTGAATGATTACTCAATAAGGACTAGTAGCAAACACTCTGCTTTTGCTTGCAACCCTTCTGTGGAAAGTTGGTTTTTGTTTTGCTTTTCACTTTTTGAATAAGTTACACACTCATATGGTTCATAAACTAATGATATATTTTCCTTAAAAGCCTGGTAGTTTGGGCTGTATTAAGCACGAGTGTGTTCCATGCTGTGCCTGTGGTAGGGTTTGTTGTAAAATGACCCTGCTTGGTCATTGTACTATGAAAACTCATACTGGAACCTTCAGCTTGTCCAAATATCACAGAGAAGACTTTTCCAGTCTCCTGCATTGATACTACAAGCTAAGTTAGAGTAGAAGTGGATAAACATTTATTTAACTCTTGCTTTCACCAGAGAATATGCTATGAACTGAACTATGTCCTCCCTGCCTTTACCAATGAAATTTTGGTCTAACAGAGAATTCTAAGGACTAAATTATAGTCAACTGAACACCTAAAACTTGGCTGGTGGTCCTGCAACCTGGGCTGGGCCGAATTGGCCTAAACCTGGTTCTCTACCATGTTGAGGCTTTCTGGGAAGCCAGCCACTTTAAGCAGGAGTAAAATGCAAAGTTTTTTTATTGGCAATCTGGTTTGGGGCAGAAGACTGCATGCAGGTAAACCCCAGAAATACATAAGAAGAAGCTAGAAAAACAGTGTCCCTAAATTCATTGTGATATGTGTTGGCAAATTAACCTAACATATATCCTTGACTCTGATAAGTTTGAATCTCTCCTTACTGAGCACAGTGCAAAACCTCTAGGATTCTTCTCCCTCTTGAACCCAGTACAGAGAATGTAGATGGTGGCTGAAGATTGAGGAAGCTTCAGCTGATTGGTGTGTGTGCTGCTCTCATGTCAAATGTGTTCCTAAACTTCCTTCTCCTCCCAGACAACTCCCCAACCAAACATCTAAGATCAGAAGTGCTCCTTTTTCCCTACATGGGGTTGCCAGCAAAGCCAATATGACCACTACTGAAAGTAATGACTTCTTTACTTCTGTTCCTTCTCCCACTCTCTCCTCTTTCCTTCCCTTACAAGCCCCTCTACCCTAGATAACACCTCTCCCCTCCCCAGAGGGTCTCTGCTTACCCTTCTGGTGTGATCTGGCGCTACTACCACCTTGAATGTGAACTGCTATCCTTATTGCCTATGTTACAGAAGAGCCGGCTGGTATGTGGTCCGGAAGCACTATTTACAATGTGAATTGTTGCAGAACAAATAAATACTGTGTGTAGTGTGGAGCCAGCTGGCACTCTCTGGAGTCATTAAACCCCCACCCCTGGGCTTTTGGTGTGCCTGGAGCCTATGGACACCTTAACCCCTACATGCCACTGCAGGACCCTTCACATACCTGCATTTCTGCAAGATATAAAACATCTCTTGATGTGCGTTTACCCTAACAAAACTCATCGCCCCAGGAGATAGCCTGTCTCACAATACCCTAGGGGACTGGCCTCACATCCTGCCCTTATCAAAGTCCTAAAATGTTCAGAGAGTCCCTGACAGATCTTAACAACAGTCAGGTGCCTGTGCGTGGACTGATCATGCAGCCCCTACTCCTTGTGTGCACAGCCACCTCCCCCCAATAAAAGAGCCTGTACGCCCACCCTCGGCACTCACACAGGCACCTCTCACCTGTGTGGTGCCCTGTTGTCTGTAGCAGCACACCTATTCAACTTTCCTAAACTTTTCTCAGTCTCATAATTCTTTACCAACCTGCATGTCACTGTCACTGTGTTTTATGCCCATGACATATAGGAACGTTAAAAAAAGGTTTCCCCTTTCGGAATCTTCGTATTTCTAGTTGTGATCTTTTCTTTCCCACTTACAGAAGTCTCTAACATTTCTTGTAAAGCAGGTTTAGTGGTGCTAAATTCTTCTAGCTTTTGTTTATTTGTAAAACTCTTTATACCTCCTTCAAATCTAAATGATAGTCTTCCAGGTAGAGTATGCTTGGTTGTAGGTTTTTTCTTTTCATCACTTCAAATGTATCATGTGCTTCCCTTCTGGCCTGCAAAGATTCTGCTGAAAAGTAGGCTGATTGTTCTATGGGAGTTCCCTTGTATGCAGTTAGCCTTTCCTTTACTACTTCAAAGATTTTGTCTTTAGCTTTACTTTTTGACATTTTACTTACAGTATGTCTTGGTATGGACCTCTCTGGGTTGATCTTAACTTGGGACTCTCTATGATTCCTGAACTTATATGTCTGTTTCCTTCCCTAGATTGGGGAAGATTTCAGCTATTATCACTTCAAATAACTTCTCTGCACCTTTCTCGCGTCTCCTTCTGGGGCCCCTATAATATGAATGTTTGTACACTTTATTTGTTCCAGAGGTCTCTTAAACTGTCCTCATTTTTCAATTCTTTATTCTTCTTCTCTGTTTAGCTTGAGCGATTTCCATTACGCTATCTTCCAGTTCACTGATACATTCCTCTGAATCATCTATTGTTGATTTCTTCTAGTGTATTTTTTTATTTCAGTTATTGTATTCTTCAGCTTTGTTTGATTCTTTCTATCTTTTAATTCTGTTTAACTTCTCGCTGTTCTCATCCATGATTCTGAATTCATTTAGGATCTTTAAAATAATTACCTTGAATTTTTTATTGAGTAGATTGACTATCAACACTTCACTGCGTTCTTCTGCAGTTTTATGTTGTTCTTTGTTGGGAGCATATTTCTCTGTTACCTCATTTTGCTTAATTCTGTTTATTTGTTTTAGGGAAGTTTGTTACATTTCACGATCTTAAGGAAATGGCTCTATGTAGGAGACATAGGGCCCAGCAGCACACTATTTTCTTGTCACCAGAGTATATATATATTTGTTTGTTTGTCTGTTTGTTTGTTTAATACCCTAAATTTCATAAAGGATTTTAGGCAATGCTGAATAATCAACCCAATTAAATAAATAACTTATTTCAAACTATTAACACATTTACCATCAAAAACTATCTTGAATACCACAAAGAGTAGATAGGATTCACTCTAAAGAATACAATATAGTCCAAAAAACAGCATCAGCTGTATTATTTTCAACAACACTCAGTCTAATTTTAAAAAATCACCATAGATTAAGCTGAAATGAACCAAAGCATAATCGGCAATTTAGACCTTTAGTATGCAAAGGTTCGTGTTTATTTTACTATATATAAGATCTTGGAAAAATTCATTTAAGTTAATTTTTATGAAATTTCTTTAATTATAAATGCATATGTTTTTCATTGGTGATTAAATACTAGTCTTAGAATATACAAGAAAAAATAACAACATTAGCAATCAAGTCTCAATTAAAAGTATGCTTACTATTTACCATTATGGATTAAAATAGAAAATCTGGATGTTCTCCAATAAAATTTTTACCTTATAACCTATGTGCATAACTAAATGATTATATTTTTATGAATCTTTTGGAAAAACTTCATTTTGTACTTACCTACAATGTCAGTCATAAGTCCCAAAATAGTCTCATCTCCTGTAATCCAAGGACGTTTCCCTACATCATGACCGTAGGCTCCCCTGGAATTGAAAAGGGATATAAACAATCTGTGTGTGTGTATCTGTGTGTGTGTGTATTTTCAAATATTGCCATTAGCAACTGGACATTTCTGAGTCTTTGTGATGTTTTAGTAATTATATAAAAGAAAGCCTTAAAAAAAACATACTTGAGAACTCTATTTTTTAACTTGTCACTTTAAAACTTCTTTGATTTCCTTTTCGTTTGGGGATGTAGGGGAGATTGCTCATATAATATTTCATTATTTTTCTCTATTTTGGAGTCTAAACTGTTATTTTCTCTTTATTCTTTTGAAAATTTCAAGACTATTTGAATACCTTACTTGTATACCTGTACCACATAGTAGTATATATATTAAAGCATATTACTATTATCTGAGGCTAGAGATTAAAATGATCATTAATTGAATTTTAAAGTATAATTACAATCTGTAAATTAAGTAGAAGTGTATAAAATGTGACTATACTCATGGTGACATTTTAAGTAGATAATAAAAGGTGGTAATAATCAAAGCCAACACTATATCTTGACCTATTTTCCAAGCAATTTCATCTATCATATTCTAGCTCAATTTTATTATTCTAGTAAGTATCCCAGTAGGCATAATGGAAAAACACAAAATATATAACAGAACTTCAACCCTCAAGTAGTTTCTATCAAATGAGGAAGGCAATATATCTAAAAAATAAAGAAGAAGAAACTAAGACAAAGGATCAAGAAGGGAGTAACTTTGTGTGCTGTTACAAACTTGTATCTTAGGAAACTCTGAATTAGATTGTTCTTAATTCTTTAGGAGTGCAAAAACTATATAAATTCAGAAGAAAGGAATGAGCATGTGTTCTTTGTATGGTGCAAACTGTGTTTGAATCCATACTCTGAAATTCAGTAAACTGGCAGTGGTGAGCTGATAAACCTTCTCTCAGAGGTGAAGGGCAGCAGAACATGCTACCCTAAAGTATATCATTGATATTGATTATTTTGTACTGTAGGCTCTTGAAAAACAGAAAATGCAGGGAGAGGCCTTCCCTGAACTCCCTTATCTGCCTACAGACAGATCCTTCAAAAGGAACACAATTGTCATAAATCCCCTCCCCAGGAGTTTCATCAACCAGGGGAGATTGACTGTTTTCACAGAAAAGGCCAGAATTCAACACCACATCCAGGCAAACATTGTCACAAACTTTATACCTCCATCTCTTCTTCAAGGACCCATTCATCTTTCCTAAAAATCCTTTACTCTCCCCTAAGGGGCCTTCATACCTGCTCCTCTTTCCCTGTTAAAATGGGATTTAAGCTTGAATTCTAAGTCAACTCTGGGGTCATTTTTCCTTGGGTATTTCCTGTGTATGTATGAAGTATTCATGTTAATAAACTTCTATTTGTTTTTCTATTATTTATCTCTTTTATTACAGGGTCTCAGCTAAAAACTTAGAAAGATAGAGGGAAAATTATTTTTTCTCCCCTAAAGAGAATTGGGAGAACTAGAGAAGAGAATATTTTTTAGCCTTTGCTGATTTTTCTGGTATGAATACTCCCATTGTGGCCAATTTCATGGTATCAACAAAAGTCCTGAATATTTAACAATTGGGTTCTATCACCTGGAATGAACCGGTTCCAGGTCACTACTGGTTATGAGACTACATTTACTAGAAGCTTATAGGGCCTAATTTCCCACTTTCATAAAAGTAAATGGGTTACCAAATGTACCTTAAAGGATTGCTATGAAAAATAAATAACATGTAAAAGAGATTGGTACATAGCACCACTTTTGTAAGTCTTCTTTCCTAATGCAGATTTAATGTTAAAACTCACTTCATCGGCATGTCGTGTAAAACACAATTTTTGAGCTAATGTTTCAATTACCGTACAAACTAAGATGAAGGAAGAAGACTTTCTTTGAGAATAAACATAAACCATAAGAACTGAGGAGGAAGAGAAATGCAATTGTTACTTCATATTATTCATATTATTATTAAGTAGCCTGCAGCTTGCCTGTTCCTTGACTTCCAGTATAAATGCTAAAGACAAAAGTCATTATCATTAAATAGTAGTTAAAGGCAGATACTTGGATCCTTTTTTATTTTAATCGTATAGAGCTCCATGGCCTTGCTGATAGCACAATACATCTTATTACATTTAGGTAGTAAAATTCTATGTTCTGCCTCAGAGAATTTATATCTCAGAATATTATGCTACCTACTTTTCACTCTGGTAGACACCATGGTAATAATCTTTAAGGATACATTTCTTCCTGCAATGCTTTGGCATCTCCCTCCCCTTAAAATATCACAGAGTCTGCTTCTTCATTTTGTCAATCTACTAGCCTGGGGCAGTGGGATGTATTTAGAAAGTGTTACTCAAATAAACTCAAGTAAAGTGGCCTGTCATTAGAAAGAGTTGCTGTTGATCACAGTGCAGTTATAAACATACATATTCAAGTTAAGAGAAAGATTAAGTTGTTCTTATTAAAAACTGCTTAAAATAGTTGCAGTGTAGCGGCAATCTTCTTTTACAAATGCTGATAAGGAAAAGAGAGCATAGGAAGGAGTTAACTCACTATCATGGCATCAATCATTGCTATGAGTGGGCTGTTCTCTGAGATGTCTCCAGACCAGTATTTGCTCATGAAATTAGATTTCAGGATATAAAATCTAATTAGGAAGTTAATAGAAATGTGGATCCTCTTTGAAATAGGACTACGCTTTAACCATCCTACAAAATGAAAAGTGGTGCTGCTTTTAGAAGCTCCTCCAGTAAGTAAATAAATAAGACTTCACAGTCTTCCTTAATGGTATCACAACTTTTTTTTTTCTGTGCCCCAATTGATGATTAGCCAATGGAGATGTCAGGAAAAGCTCTGTAACATAACATACCATGTACTTCCCTACTTATAGTAAAGGGTAGCAGAAAACGCCACACTAAAATTTGCCTCTTTGCAATAAGGATTATTTTGAGCTGAAGGCATTTGAAAAGCAGCATATGCATGGAGAGGATATCTGAACTTCCCTTTTCTGCCTGAAAACCAATCCTCCAAAAAGAACTCAACTGTCTTAAATTCCCTCCTCAGGAGTTTCATCAACCAGGGGAGATTGACTCTTGTCACAGGAGAGGAGACGAGACCTCAACACAACCTCCATACACACTTTGTCACAAACTATTATCATACCTTCCCTCTGTTCTTCTACGGGCCCATTCATCCTTCCATAAAATCATTTACTTGGGGCGAGTATAGCTCAGTGGTAGAGCTGGACTGCATTATGATCAGTGTTGGTTTATTTTGTGGATAGGTATTAGTATGTCTACAATAGGCCATAAAGGATGTTGACATAGATGATGAAAACCATGAGCCAGATGGCATTTCCTACCTGATAGGTCATGAATGGCCAAAGACTTGATATCAATATCCCAGAGGAATACCTCACTTAGAGACAATTCCAATGTTAAGATTATAAATTTTTAATATTATTTTTTCTGTTAGGCAACTAATTTCAATGTGCATTAGAGTATTTAGTGATTGTATAGCTCCATTTGACTAAGTTCTTCTCAAAATCTTTCACTGGTCAAGAAGAAGGGGAGGCACTGTCCTGGTTTGGGTGTCAGCTAAGAGTAGGGCAGAAGTGAGGTTGCAGGAGATGAAGAGGAATAGATAATCAGATAAAACTCCCCACCAAAATGAGAGGCCCTGGATCTAAAGGCAAACCAAACACATGCAGGGGAGATTTAGTAAAATAATAAAAGCAATAGTCAGAAAGGGAAGTGAAGGGACCACTCAACAGAGTGGTGTGAAGATTAAAGGCATGTGGACAAACATCAGCCTCAAAAAGAAACATCTAAACTTAAGGAAAACCTCCTGAAAATGCCACTGCTATCGATCCACCCTCAGAGAAGGGAGGCCCTTACTTAGGACCAAGATTTACAAGTTCAATTGTCCTCAGTGTTTCTCTTGGTAAAATTCCAGCCAGGAAAGACACTGCCTATTTTCCTCAAGATGGAAAAGCTCAATAGAACTTTCCATGGTTTCCTGTTGAAGCCCTAAAACTGCCCTCTTTTGTTAAGTTAGTTAGAATCCCTTACTCTGGCTGATCAGTGAAGCACTGCTTGTAGAGTGCTTTACACGCATGTGAAATAAGGTTTTCTCCTGTTGATTTGTCTATTGTCACTTAAGTTTCAAGCCCCTAGTTACTAGAATGTAAGCTTGTGAAGGAAAAGTCTTCCCAACACAACATTAGCTGGAAAAGGCCAGAGTAGAATGCTAAGCTAAATATTTTGGAGCAAAAAAAAAATAAACAAACCCTTTTGAGATCAAAGATGGGGGTGTGGAGGGAACAGGATTACAATCATGCACCTCAAACACCACTGACATTGTTGGGCTGCAAGGCCATGAGGTTGATTGGTCACACAATTTCTAACAAAAAGACTAAATAAAACAAACTAGCTACCTAATCTTTTTCTAAGAAGAAGTCTTCTTAAAATTTAGTTTACATCGCTTGAAGCATAAAATGCACCTCCTTTCTGAATTGTCTGTCTGATGAAAAACAGAAGGGTTTAAGATTATGTAATTTCCTATTGTCACAAGGTAAAATATAAAATTGAAAGGTAACC